AAACTTTCACAGTGTTCTTTAAGTATGTGTAAATTCCTTTTTTAAATGCCCTCCAAAGGCAGGCCTGACAACTTAAAAATAAGTGAAGACCTGAGTTGCTTTTAAAAATTTAACATCAGTTTTACCTGTGGATGCAGTTTCATTGATTTTTTTTTTAAATTTCAATTGGAGAGAGGGCCACTGAAATGCTAGAAATCAAGAAATTATCTAGTTCATTTCCTCTTCAGGCACATGTCACCTAAATACTATCAGATGATGGCCGACACTTCTTCTGTGCTTTAAGATCTTCCAGCAGGAAAATAAGAATTTTTCCCCTACCTCATAAATGTCACAGAGGATCCAGTTTAAATATTTTCCATGATTACGGGGTGCCTGGGTGGCCCAGTCGGTTAAGTGTCCAACTTCGGCTCAGGTCATGATCTCACAGTTCGTGGGTTTGAGCCCCGCATCCAGCTCTGTGCTGACAGCTCAGAGCCTAGAGCCTGCTTCAGATTCTGTGTCTCCGTCTCTCTCTGCCCCTCCTTCACTCATGCTCTGTCTCAAAAATAAACACTAAAAATAAAAACATAATAAAAAACAAATATTTGCCATAATTAAAAGAGGTACGTGGCCTTTTATGACGAGCCAGAATGTGGTTGATGCAGCTTCTTGCTTGTGTCTTTAGCTATCCAAGAGGCCTAGGTCTTGGTGAGTCATTTAACTCCTCTGGACCACTTATATCATGTACAAATTGGAACACTGGACTAGTAATCTCTAAGACTTTTCAAGCTCAGAAATATCATGGTTTGTGAGTCACACACATCATCTGAATACCCCACATTTTGTGGATCTCGAGGCTGAGACGTCTGCTTTTTAGCGAGAATGTTCTGTTAATTTTGAAACTGAACACTTGAACTGTGACATTAACAAGCTTAGTAGTTATGAAATATATTGGGTATTTTTAGCATATTCCTTAAATGTGAGCCTTACTTCATATTTCCTATATTCACTGAATAAGATAGGTATACAGGATTGGAGATTGATTTCATATTGATCTCCAACATTTTGGGAAGCTATGCTAAAAGTGCTATTCTAAAACATTGTTATTACTCTTTTTTGACCTTTCTAGTCAATTTCATTTTATTTTTTTTTTTCTTAAAGAAAGTATTAGGTTACTTAAAGGTACAGTTTTCCACTTGGGAAGTTCAAAGAATCTTAAGTAGCCATTTGGCTCCAATATGTACAAAGAGCTATAAGAACCTCGATGAAATGTATAATTCTCAAGGAAAATATAGATTGCAAAACTGACTGTAAAAGAGAGAAAAATCTAAGGAGATTGGTAGCCATCAAAGAAATGGGAAGAGTACCCAAAGAGCTGCCCACCATAGTAGCATCAGGCCCATATTCTTCTCTGTGAGGAATTCTGCCCATATTTTAAGGAATGGATAATTCCAACGTTATTTAAGACACTGCAGATCAAAGAGAAAAGTAGGAAAACTTCCCATGAATAATAAGGAAAGGGACACAGTTCCTTCTTTGATGATCAAGATGAACCTCAGAGCAAACAGTTGGGAACAAGGATGAAAGATAGCAATAAGAGCTATCAGATAAAACCTTGAACCTTGGGCCACATTTTTTTTCTGTGTCTGTGTCTTACTGATTAATGGGAAGTTAAATCGGGAAAGGAAATTATTAAGTCAGGCTAGTTAGGCTTTGTAGAAGGCATGGATATTCTTTAAAATGTACTTGTATTTTATTCAGTTAGCCTTTTGAGCATTAAATACAAAGCATATGTTGGTGCCAAGGGTGGGGCAATGAATAGGTTTCAAAAAATGAAAAGGAAACATTTCCTGTCCTCAGAGCAGAGGCTTCACGCCCCCTATGTGGAAAATAGGGAATAAGCACAGTAAGGCAAGGAAAGGAAGAAAGAATGAAGCACAAGGGAAATACTGTGGGCTGATGATTGAGCATAACCTCTAGATCATGGAGTTGGAACCCCAACAAGATGGTCAATCAGATTTTAAACCCATACCCAATGGTTTGGATGATCTAGTAGTGGTAAGGAATCTTTTAAGGTTGGGGAGCCAGGAAAGGAGCATAAAAGCCAGCAAATCAGGCCAGATGGATGGGGCTGACCTTAAAAATCTTCCCATGGGATGATCCATGATAAAAACTTCTCCTGGGGCCTAAACCAGATGAACAAGGCCACCTGCTCGTAATGCTACTCCCTATTCTTGTGCTGTCACTTCCTCTGAGTTTTGCCCACATCATTCTATGGGCAAAGTTAAAATAGAGAGGGAACGGTTAGGACCTGAGTACCCTGGGTGGGGGAAAACACAGATTTTGGGAAACTGCTGGGAGTATTTGACAACAGCAAACCCCCTCAGGTGTAAAGTTCCTCTTAAGAATGTATTAGACCCCACCTATACCCCCTCAGGAGCCCCTCAGAAATTTGACAATCGGAATACCTAACTAAAAAAGTAAAACTTATGTTACATGAGAGACAGTATGACCAGTTTGACTCCTCACTTAAGCCAATCAGGAAGGGACAACCCAGCACCTAGACAACCCAGGTTCAGCCCGTTAGGGTAGAACCTGACAAGGAACGAGGGGGAAGGGAAGGAGTACTGACCAGACCTTATATAACAAGGACCCTTGCCTGTAGTGCAGACGTTCACTTTCAAAAATCCCCTCTCTGTAAAGAGAGCTTTCCTACTATACTCTTAAGAAACTTTTGCTTGTTGCTTATTTTGTGTCCACCTTTTCATTCTTGTAAGCACAACAAGACAACGGGTCTCAGGTATTGAGGTGAAAAAAATCCTGCAACATTTCCATCTAGGAAGTCTAGGATGAAAGAAACAATGTGAAGGTTGAAACAGGGAGGGTAAGACAGTAAGAGTTTAGTAAATAAAAGAATGGGGTGGAGACCCAATAAATAACATGGTTTTTCAGATGTGTGGAATAACCATTTGACTCTCAAAAAAAAAAAAAAACCCACTAGTGGAGACAAAGCCTTCTAGAAGCTATCCTTTGGGTACAATTACTATGGGATCAACTTCCTCCTGAGAGGGAGAGGGAGAAAGGGGGCAGAGTAAAGTGAGCAAGTACACGGTTATACTTCAGAGTTCTCCACTGAAAGATGGGAAGATTCTCTAGCCTCACCTGATATTTTCTTGTTTTCTGCCCAGGTTTTAGATGTGTGTGTGTGTGTGTGTGTGTGTATGTGTGAGAGTGTGTGTGTGTGGGTATGTGTGTATTTTCACATTAAATGACAATGTTTAAATTGTTAAGCATTGTGTTGGTAATTTTGGTGCAGTGAACAGGAGTGCAACATGTACCTCTAAAGGGGTTTTAGTATGTGCATTTGGATTGCTTGGTGACCTTTGAAATTTTGTTTTGAGCTGCTGTCAGAAACATAATCAGTTTTCTTTCTGAAACAGATTTTAACATCTGTAAAGGTTGATCAAACTAGGATAGTTTTAATAAAATATTAATCTCTGTTTTTTAATGTCAACCCAGCTTTTAAAACCGTTCATCAGCTATAGGAACATCACCTCAAGGCACTTGAGTTGCTTTTAATAAATGTCTTTTCCACGGAATATTCAGGTTGTGGCCAGGGTATCCAGAGGATAAAAATTTTTCCTGGTCTGGTTCATCTGTAGTCCAGTCTTCCGAATTCTCTTATTTTTAAAGTAAAATTACTTAAATTTGTATGTCCTTATCTCAACAGTTAAGGTTTTTTATATATCAAGGAGGGGAGATTGTTGGGAATTCTGGCATCAGTCCTTCCAAGTCTTGATAAAGGACATCGACTTTTAACAAAATTTAACCTAAATATCTAGTTTAAACATGTCTTGTCATTAAAAGGTTATTTACGCTTAAAATGCTGACCTTTCAAGATGTACACAAGAGTGTTCTAAAACAGAGTTTCTGAACATTGGCCATGAAACCACTGTCTTGGGCTGACAAATGGATTGGAAATAAGCTACCCAACACTGGGAATGGGCCATTAATTCTAATCAAAGGTGATGCAGGAAGGCGAATGGGATGCATGACAATGTCAACAGCCCAGTAGGTGTTAAGAGACCACACAGCCTTCCTTGTTACTTGGTTGGGCCATTAGTTGAGGTTGGGTGAAGACAGAAAGCCATGTCTGGAATTGAATGACCAGGTCACTCCAAAATCTAATGGAGAACTCCTCATTTCAGAAATCACATTGTAATGCCATTGGAAGTCAAGGACAGCATTTAGAAAATATTGGAGGAGTTTTTTTTTCCCCCTAACCAAGCACCTTTGCTAGGTTTTTCCAACTTCCTCAAGCCCCCTGTTTTCCTGCCTCCTTTCCTCCTGAATGGATCATTGATATTTACAGAGGATCAAGAAATCGAACAGACTTAGAAAAAAAATCTCAAAGCCTGTTTGCTTTTCAGAATTACATATTGTTAGTTGTAAAACTCTGTTAAATGCCAGAAACAATAGCGTACCAAAGGAATTAAGCAGGGCAATTAATTCTCGGTAGTGATCTCATTGTCCATGTCCTTTTCTGTGTTCTTGTGTGTAGGGATAGTTTTACTAATTGAAACTCAACTTTCTTAATTGCTGTAATGAAAACGTTTGTTTTATAATTGTAAAGGCCACCGTGCATGTGTCTCACTGCAAATTGCCAATATTGGCTGATAATATTAGTGACACTCGCGGTGGTGAAAGCCTTTTCTTTTAATCAGTAAGTATATTTCATTATTTTGAGTATTTTCAATTACAAAAAAGGTAGCATATGACAGCTTGAATTAATGATATTTATAATAAAGACATAAAAATACATAAGGGACAAAGGCATTTTTATGTCTCCGCTTCAGGTTTGTTAAGAAAGTTCATTTATTCTCACACAGCATTGCATGCCTAAGAAAGATAGGTATGACCGCATTAGTAATTTTTATGCATTTTTAAGAAAGAAAAGCAATTATATTGATGTCTTGTTAATGGAACGCTGTTATAAGTAATGGTATTTGTTTTTCCTGTAGATGAAGATCAGCTCCGTGCAAAGGGTTATGACAAAACACCAGACTTTATTTTACAAGTTCCAGTTGGTAAGTCCTTAAACTCTCTTATGCATTTGTTCATAGAGAAAGGGGATGTGTTTCCTCCATAGACTTTTTTTTTTCACTTTTTGTTAATATTAGCAAACCTTACCAGGGTAGATTCGCTTTAAATGGGTGAAATTGTTGGAAAAGATTATTTTAGAAAGCAGATAATAATAGGTGCGGAAGATATCTCCTCCTTGAAAATGTTTACCTCTATTTGGTAGAAATAAGCATGTCTTCTGAAGACATTTGGGATGCCATTATTAAGTCATCTCTCTCACTTCTGAATTTTTCCACGGGGTTCTGTTGAAAAGCCAGGCTGGCCCGCTTTGGTTTGCCTTCACGTTACTTGCCCACTTACAGAGGCAGTGTCAGAGTAGGAGAGGGGCTTTTGAAGAGGATGATGGAAATCACAGGGATGTGATTATAGCATAAATGTTCCTCGGAAGGAACACATACGATGCGCTGTTTTCTAACCACATCCGTAGACAACAGCGAGGGCTAAGGCTCCACTCGTTAATGTGAAGCACAGAGAGGCCTAGACAGAGTTCAGTATTTTCAATCTTCCCTTCTCTTTGCTCTGTATTAGTAATGCTTTGTCCCTTAGCTGTAGAAGGGCACATAATTCACTGGATTGAAAGCAAAGCCTCATTTGGTGATGAATGTAGCCACCATGCCTACCTGCATGACCAGTTCTGGAGCTACTGGAATAGGTAAGGTTCCATTATTTTTCTCTTAAGATAAACGATACTCAGCTGAAATCTCATTAGAAAAAATATTTTGTTTAGCTGGTAAAAATGCTCGTAGCCTTTGTTTCCAGTAAGTACAGAGACTTGATTAATGTATTCATTTCAGATAATTTAAACTTCTCTGCTTTCATAATGTTGCTTCATTTTTTTAAAGTAAAAATCTCTGTATAAGGTCAAAATTAGTATATACTCCCATTTTCCATTTTACAGCGATAATATTGGGATCACTAAAACTAGGAGTAATAAGATGTGGTGCATATTATGACACCGACGCTAACTTTTTTTTTTTTATGTGAACTTTACGCAGCTATCTGAGGATAGTATCCAAATGATATGAAAGATCAAAACGATTTGCCTTCCAACCAAAAACAGCTTACCTTCCAACATCAAGGCATGGAAATCTTAGTGATTAAGGGAAAAGGTTAGAGGGGAGGATGCTTTTGTTATTGAATACCCACCATGTGCCTGGGCCTCCGCATTCTCTCAGTTAATCCTCACAAGGAAGTTACTTCTCCCCCCATTTTATACGTAACTGATTCTCAGAGAGAAAGTAATATGCCTTACAGTTAGTTGTCATGCATTTTTCTTTCTCACTCCCAAACCCATGCCCTTTCCAGCACATCTCTGTTGTCATTTATAGTACAGCTGTTGAAACTTTGGCGTTTTCTAGGATTCAAGTCCCAAGTTTTCACACCACACATTTTTCCCCCCTTAGAAAAGGAGGTAGTGCAAGCTGTAACCTTCCTAGATTAACTGTGTTCCTCAGTCACTGGCCAAGAATATAATCAGCAGATGACACTGGCCTGGATCCTTAAGGAATGAGACAGTAACATCTGTGGACAATGGTCTTATCCTGGGGAAGAAAACAAAACAAAACAGTGACAGGCTACAGAATTTGGTATCGTATTGTTACTCAGCTTTTACAAAAGGCCAGCAGACCTCGTCCGTGGCAGCTGTGCTAAACTCAGCCCACTTTTTGCCATGGTAACAATGATCATGACAAAATGCTGAATGTAATGGCTTTCTTGATTTTCTTGTGTAATTGTGCGTGGCATCCGAGCTTTACTTTACAGGGATGGAGGAGGAAAGTGCAAAATGTTTTAGAAATCAATGCTGCTTCAGCGTTCCCTGTCTTTTATTCAGCCATTATTCAAATTAGCAGTAATGTGGCAAATTGAATTTTAGATTTTTAGCAATTTTATGAGTTCAAAATAGTAAAGAAACATCATCTTTGATGGTATAAGGGAAGCAATGGCAAGAAAATCAAATTGTAAAAGTTTAGTTTGCTAACGCCTTTTTAAAAACTGATAAAATCATTTTTCAGAGACCGTGCCCCCATTTAAGTACTCGTCAAGTCTTCCACGAGGAACAATTACAAATTGAATTCCAAAGAGTAGAGATTTCTTGAAAATTCCAAAATCATATTTTCTTTCTGAAATAAATCTACCGTGTATTGAGTACCTACTATGTGCCTAGCACTCTCTATTTTAGAGGCTGGTTGAATAATCTAGTCAGTAATCAGACTCCCATACACCATCGACCTGGCTGGAGGGCATCTGAGCAATAGATAGTTTAATACAGTTGTCTTTGGACTGGATTTTAGATTATTCTGTTGTGTGCTACTTTTTTTTTTCTATTTCCGTGATGTTTTACTTATATGATATTGGTTTATATTACCTAAACATGCTCTTTGAATATATACCAGCTACTGTGCATGATTCATTTAGGGCATATTGTGTGATAAAGGGAAAGCAGCCCTTGATTTTGAATTATTCCAGGTCATTCAAGGAGGAAGTATTCTACACAGAATTCGGTAGTTTTACCAAATGTCTGCGGAGAGGCCCAGGAATGGAAGTATGGTGACACCCAAAATGGAATACAGAGGCATTGACTTGGATATAAAATTTTGATTATAATAGTGACACAGACTTACCAGAGATAGGGCATTTTGACAGGAGAACTTACCCCATTTATGAAAGTTTGAAATCCTACTCTTCATATCTGGCCTCAGCACAATTCACATGGTAGTTGCTGACATTGCAAAAGTGGAGAAAATCATCTCTCCTGCCTGTAGGTAGCTTTTCACGGAGGCTATTGGTTGGTTGGCGTTTGGGTTAATTGCTTTATTTGTGTAATAACAATTGTCACTGTTTTCAAATTATTATTTATTTATGTTTATTCATTTTGAGAAAGAAGGGAGAGAGCTTGTGCGAGCCAGAGAGAGGGAGACAGAATCCCAAGCAGACTTCACACACAGCACAGAGCCCAAGGTGGGGCTTGATCCCATGGAGCCACGAGCTCATGGCCTGAGAAGAAATCAGGAGTCTGAAGCTTAACTGACTGAGCCAGCCACCCAGCGCCCCTGTCACACTATTTTTAGATTAAACATCAGATTTTAGAATAAGACTGTTCAATTAATATTTGTAGAATCGTGACGTTGGGTAAACCCGTTTTCTCACATAAATAATTACAGAGCCCTTAATTTTTAGCTTAATGTTTCTAAAAGAGTTTTTTTTTTTATGTAAGTTGCTATTCTTACTCATTCTTTCAGCAACTTTTGACAGCTCTGATCTTACCATCTCTCTTTATTAAAATGTCTTCTCTTGACTTCCCAGAGGTACTCTAGAGGGTTGCTTCCTGCCATCCCAGCAGCATAGTCCATCTGCTTTCCCCACCCAGCTGCACGCAGAAGGGCCCGGAAACTCTGTGTTCACCCCTCTTCCCTGTGCTCTCTACATCCACTCCCGGGTGCTCCCTTGGAGATCTCATCAGACTATGGTTTTATATACCATCTCTATAACAGCATCTCCTAATTCTTATTCCCAGCCCTAATATTTCACCTGAGTGCAAATTTGTCTATGCATCTGTCCACTCATGTCTCCTCTCGGACATCTAATGGCTGTTTCAGACATAACATGTCTAACATTAAGCCCTTGATTTTCCTCCTCAGGCTTGTTGCTTCCCCCGGTTCCTCCCCAGATCAACTAATGGCACCACAATTTGCCCAAGTTACTCAAACCAAAAACCTAACCTATCACCAGCCCACCCAAAAGTCCTTAGCTGCGTCTTTGCCATATCTCAAATCATGCCTCAGTATTGCCTTCTTACTTGGCATCACCTCCCTGTCTGTCGTCACCTCTTGGACTGTTGCTGGAGCTTCCAAACTGGTCTCTGTACATTAACTGTTACATTCCTGCGGTCCATTTTTCATACCCAAGCTAGAGTGACTGTTGGGTAATACAAGTCAGATTGTGTTGCTTCCTGCTCAAAACTCCTCAGTGGCTTTCCATCACATTTGAAATAAAGTCTAAGCTCTTTCACATGACACTCAGAGCCTTACATGATCTGGCCCTCCACCACCCCAGTTACCTGCACATCTACCTCTGTCTCTCCCTCTCTCTCCTCAACTAAGGCTCCCACCCTCTCCTGTACTTCTGTGGCCACACTGGGTTTCTGGACCTTCCTTAAATCTACACTGCTGATTTCTACTTTAGAACTCTTACTCCGGCTAATTCTTTTGCTTGGAGTTGTCTTCATTTGGGTCTCCACATGGTAAACTCTTCACACCATTCAGATATCTGCTCACATTCGGGAAACCTTCCCTGACCACTCAGTCTAAAAGGCCTCACCTCAGTCACCTCTCCCTCCTCACTTAGCTGGAATTTTCTTCCTAATATTTACCCCTTTCTGAGTGAAAGAATAAACATATATATAAGCATCAAGTTGTTTGAATACAATAAGCCTTTATGAGAGAGCTTTTCCTTTTGTATTGCTACATATAGTGTGCCCCTCATTCCTTTGTAATCAAAGCTTCAAGAATTTTCCCTGGTTTAATTAACCTCAGAAAAATTTATATTTCACAATGCCATCACCTTCCCTGAAGCCAGAGATATGGAGTCCAGAACATAAGCTGCCTCTCCCATGAGCAGGCCCCTATCCCAGGGGTGACCTTGATTAAATAACTCCTCAAACTGTACAATCTCTACTTCTCTGAAGTTAAAGGATATAAAGAAGGCCTCTGAGAAGCAGCATTTGGACCAAAATGCAGCCATATTCTATAAGGCTATATATACAGTTGTATAGGAAATAGATACATATTGGGCACCTGGGAGGCTCAGTCGGTTAAGCATCCAACTTCAGCTCAGGTCATGATCTCACAGTTTGTGAGTTTGAGCCCTGCATCAGGCTTTCTCTGCTGTCAGAACAGAGCCAGCTTTGGATCCACTGTCCCCCTCTGTGCCCCTCCCCTGCTTGTACATTCTCTCTCTCTCTCTCTCTCTCAAAAATAAATATTAAAAAGTTTTTTAATGTAAAAAAAGAAAATACATGTGTGTATACATACGTATGCACGCACGCGCGTACACACACATATATCCCATACACATAGGACTATAAATACAGATTGTATAAAAACCATATTTCTTTACACAATCAATACCCCAGTAACATTTCTATTCTACTTCTGTAGTTAAAAAGTGACTTCTTTGACAATGTGGCTGGTATTACTAAGTCTATTTTCATATTCTGGTGGTGACAGGTTAGAAAAAAAGAAACCAATTCTATAATCTGAGTCCAAATTACATGCATGGGTTCTGAATGTACATGTGGCCTTTCAGAGAAGTAGGAGCAGACACCCTGTCCTCACTTTTAGTGTTTGGATGTAAAGTGGGTCCGTCTGAAAGAAAAATTTTAAGTGACCCTAAATAACGAAGATCGACTAGCCACTAAGGCAGCACATGAACAGTACCCAACAACTACTGATCAAGAAAGTGGAAATCTCAACTGCAAGTTCAGCTGTGCCATCTGCCATTACAGGCACACTCTGGCACACTGTCACCAGTGGCATCGATTAAAAAATACAGCGCACTTTGCATGTGTTACCTCTTTATTTCTCTCGAAGAGAGTCAAAACTTAGTGACTGGCAAGAACAAGTGAAAGTTTTGTCTCAACATGATTTTCCAGTT